CCCATCCATACAAGCTCGCAAAGCCTGCTCAACTTGAGCACATCCTGTCGTGCTATACCCTGCAGATGCCCAACACGCTGTTCAATCGGAAACATTAGCTCATGCAAGAAGTAACGAGACGTCATCGACATCATTGTAAAGGGTGTAGGAGGTAGGGCATGATCTGCGCATACCAAGGACGGAGGACATGATGGCCATGCAAGGGCGCTCGCGCTGTCCGTTCGGGTTGCGAACTCGGAGGACCTTCAACGGAGGGAGGCGAATTGGCTTTTGTGCGGCCGACATCTTGATCTGAGGGATCGAATGCGGTACCCGATCGTAGATTAATGCCGTCAGTCGAATTTCGCGTGGGCCGAAGTGTTGAAGCTTTTCGTAGCGACGGAAAAAAAGAAAAGTTGGATCTAACGGAAAATGGAAGATCACGTGCTAAGTGGGATGGGCTACATCGATGGGCTGGATTTGGCAGCATGCGATCAGTGCGGCGGAACGCGTCTGTGTGGAGTCTAACCCAATCTAGAACCGTTCCAAGGTTCCATCCAGACGCTTGTTCTTCAGGCTTATTTTTTACCTCCGGGTCGGATTCTACATTCTACATGCCATGTAAACTGCCCAACCAGCAACCAGCCTAGCATCTGATAATTTTGTCACGGTCCACACCACTGGAGATGAGGAGGGTGATGGCAGGGCCTGCTTGTGCATGGCATACCCGTCTCCTAGGCCTGTCAAGCGCATGCTCTGATTGGCATGCGACGTCGTACACGTAATCCTCGTGTGTTGCAGTTCCGATAGCACAAATCAAGGACAGGGAGGGAACCATGTCGGAGCTGGCTTACACCAAATCGATTGCTCCGAGATTCTGGCCGCGACATCGGCGTGTCCCGTTGTGGGAGTTTGTCGCCGTTGGTTGCTCAGAAATAGTAGCGAACTGTCAAACTAGACGCCTTAGGGCCCTACTATCACATCGTTCAAGTCCCTTGAGGATCTCGAAGAAATCGAACGATTCATTGCCAACTTCTACGACTTCATAGATTAGTCTAGACGCCAAGCTCAGCTTAGGCAGCTTGTCGTCAATTGAACTTTTTTAGTAGATGGTCTACTGTGAGTTTGCACCATAGTAGATGTCGATACCAGATGGTCTATACCTATATTGAACAGTGATCGCCAAATAGATCTTGATGCAGCCTGACTTGAGGGTTCTTGATGTCATGAACTATGTTCAGCTCGCGCTTGACGTTTCTCCGTCTGGCCACTCGTATGTCTCGCATGTCTCGCCTCCCGCTGCAAGATCCAGCACAACCAGTTGTCTCTCTCTTCGAGTCGTACAAAAGTCGCGCAAGACTAGGAGGATTTTAACGTCAAAAACTGCGCTCGCGTCCCCACCCGCCACGGTCTCGACGTAATGTTGTCCGGACTATTGGAATTCGCGAGCAAGATCGAGGATATGCTGCCCCTTGTTAGCCGTTTTATTAGTTGGTTTTGGTCACGCTTCGATCCTCGGCTGATGGAGACTGATTGATAAGATAATTTTCGTCGCGCCCGTTTTTTTTGCATATCTGATCGGCTAGTGCACCTAATCGAGCCTAGCCTTGGCAAAGTCCCTTGGATGTGGGCCTCTAGCGTACCTGGAATGCCCGAACAACCTTCCCCGTTTGGAGCTGAATTTTTACGGCTAACCAATACGCTCGCAACCGCACTTTCTTCAGGATTCACCCTCAGCTCATGTACAGGCATGTGGTGGTTCATAGGACGGTTTTACGTAATTGTCTATTTGGAAATGAAGCAGAAGACAGTGGATCGTCGAAGTTTTTGAGCATGATTTTATGTTAGCTCCGAAGCAGCTTCTAGGACCGGTACTCCCTTTCTTGGTATGGTTATTGCTGAATCTACTCTGAATTTTTTGATCGCGCCTCGTGGAACTCTCTTTTGGTCATTGGCCGCTCCCTCCACTCCGGTCGCGATGCAACTCCACTCTTTTAGCTACTCTCAGGTCATGGCCAGACCCAGAGATCAAAGTTAGGTTATGCCTTTCCCTTTCCACCTTCCTCCATTATGGGACGGGTCCAGTCAATGCGTCTTAAATAAAAGGGCAAACTAAACCACCTGAGATTCTCTCCCGCTCCTTCACCCTGTCACCACCCCTACAGTTCTCGGCCGAGGATATCATTGTATGCATATAGGTATACAATAATATCTCAGGCGCGTCCTGCAATTGTTCAAATAGCTGGCCATCCCCCGCCCTGCGCCAGGACTGATTCCTTCTCGATATCAGTCGGTCAACAGAATCCGCTGCATCCATATCATTTGCAACTTGACAGAATACTGTTCAAGCTACACAAGTCAAAATGAGAGGACCGCTCGGTCGATTCACCCACCCTACCGAGGTGCCGGTGGAGGAGAAACAACGCAGCGAAACCGACAAGGAGACTGGGGTTGTCGATAATCAGCCTCGCAACAGCGAAACCGACACCGATCCCGATTCCATTGATCACAATGCTCAGGCCGGTGTCCAGAAGATCGAGGCCACGACCAAAGTCTGGTCTAGGTCCCATCTTATAATGGCATACGTCTTGTAAGTTACTCCTCTAATCGGCGATTTTACGTAGTTTAGTGTCCGCAAACTGACAAGACTGTAGCATCTGGATCATCTACTTCGTCGACTCTATGCAGCAGGGAATGAGCTCTCTCCTGACCCCATACGTTACTAGCGCGTTTGCCCTTCACTCGCTAACCGCCACCACGGGCGTTATGTCCGGTATCATCGGTGGTGTTTCGAAGCTCACGCTTGCGAAAATCCTCGACATTTGGGGTCGTCCCCAGGGTTTCCTGGTCGTAGTTCTCCTGCTAACCCTCGGTATTGTCATGATGGCGGCCTGTAACAACGTAGAGACTTATGCCGCCGCGCAAGTCTTCTACTGGGTCGGGTAAGCACTGATTTTGCGGTCTGCCATTAAACTGTTTACTAACTTGTCCCAGATACAATGGAATTAGTTACTCCTTGTCCGTTTTCATCGCCGATACATCGCACTTGAAGAACCGAGGTCTAATGCTTGCCTTCATCTCGTCGCCCTACATCATTACCGTCTGGATCACCAGCCCTATGGCCCAGAGCGTCCTCTATGGTATCGGCTGGAGATGGGGTTTCGGTATTTTCTCCATCATCACACCGATCATGTGCCTGCCTTTATTCTTCCTATTCACCTGGAATTATTACAAAGCAAAGAAAGCTGGATTGATCGTCTATACCCCCAGCGGTCGAACCACTTGGCAAAGCATCAAGTACTATTTCTGGGAGTTCGACGTCATCTGTCTTATTATGGTCTCCGGTGGTTTTGCGCTCTTCCTGCTTCCTTTCAACATCTATTCCTACCAGTACTACGGCTGGAGAGACCCCTTGACCATTTGCTTAATCATCTTCGGTGGTCTACTCCTAATTGGAGCCGTTGTCTGGGAGAGATTCTTTGCGCCGGTCAAATTCATGCCTTGGGAGCTTCTGAAGGACCGAACCGTCCTCGGAGCCTGCATTCTCGCTGCAATTCTCTTCGTCGAGTACTACATTTGGACTGCCTACTTCTCGTCATTCCTCCAGGTTGTCCTCAACCTTAATGTGACGCAGACTGGTTATATCAACAACATCTACAGTCTTGGGTCGTGCTTTTTCTCATTCATCGTGGGTTTTGCGATCCGCTACACCGGTCGCTTCAAGTGGGTTGCGTTGTACTTCGGTGTCCCGGTCACCATCCTTAGCATTGGCCTGCTTATCCACTTCCGACAGCCCGGTACCCACCTTGGCTGGATCATCATGTGCGAGATTCTCTACGCCTTCGCTGGTGGCGCCTGCGTCATTGCCGAGCAGATTGCTGTCATGGCCGCCGCAGCCCATCAGCACGTTGCCGTCGTCCTTGCCATGGAGGGTATGTTCAGCAGTGTAGGCGGTGCCATTGGAGGAACAATCTCGGCCGCCATCTGGACCGGCACCTTCCCCAAGGCCCTGGCCAAGTATCTTCCCCCGGAGTCCCAAGCCAATCTCACCGAAATCTACAGCCAGCTCCCTGTTCAACTTTCTTACGAATGGGGCTCCCCGACCAGAAATGCTATCATCCAAGCCTATGGTGATGGCCTAAGATGGATGTTCGTTGCTGCTACAGCTATTACTGGTCTGGGTCTCGTGTCCGTCGCTGTGTGGAGGGACATCAAGGTCAAGAACTTGAAGCAGGTCAAGGGTCGCGTGTTCTAATCTAACATATATACCATATATGTGATATTCTAACCTAGCACTTATCTTGCTGGAAATAAAGAAAAGGGGAAATTGGATAGGGGCCGAATAATTGGGGTGTGGGGATGCATTGGGAGGTGTGTTCGGAACGGGCAGACGAGTCTGATGTGTAGGATGATATAGACTTATGATACCTGCTGGTTCACTGAATCACGCTCATTAGAATTTATCTAATAATGTTCAAAAATCTGCTTCGTTGTCTATAGTTGTGTTGGCAAAAGTATAGAAAGCACTGTTCCTCATCTTTCGTTATTTGAAAGCCATATGGAAAATTCCCGTTATGCACGCGCAATTTTATTGCTATATATCTCCTCGTCTCTCAGCTATCCATGGTATTTTTCGATCATCGAGATTGGCGATCTCTCTTCCATTAGGTGGATCTCGTCCTAGACGATATAATCCTACCTGAGACACCTACCTCAATGAACCCGATCTCTTCATTTCAAACTTGGGATTACGTATCCCGTTACTCTGAGGGATTATTTCAGTCACACTACCTGCCCGTCCCATGCGCTGGCACATATTAGAGCCCACTTGTCGTCCCACTCCGCGTACCCGACTACCCGGCTAGCTAACCGCCCCGTAGCCCGACCCACGGCGCCGGTGTCCAAATGGGTCAAGCACGCGAACACAAGTGTCTGTGTAATTGCCTATATACGCCTTTAGCTGACACAAATTTTCATCGCAGCTCCACAGCTCGCAAACAACGTTCTTTCACTAAGTAAAATCTCGATTGGTCTAGTGGTCAGGATACCTGCTTGTCATCTATCTTGATGGGTTCTTCTCGTCCGAGGTCGAATGCGCAGGTGGCCGGGGTTCGATTCCCCGATCGAGAGTCACTACGATATTATGTTTTCTTTTTCCTCTAGGTATCGGGCATGCTTGGGTTTATTGGTAGAGATTAAGTTTTGTCGTTGATTCGGACGCTTACTATCCCGAGTTACTACTTTAGCATTTGTAGTTTCAGCTTTTACTCCAGGGATGGCGATTTTGATACCGTCGCACTTTTATCTAAGAGATTTTCGGGGACTTCACGGGCTGTCTAATAATGTGGCTAGCCACTAGCTTTATGCGAAAACCATTCAGATACAATAATAGCTGCTGTGTTGGAATGGAGTATACCTAAAGTCTCCGAGCTAAAAAGCCTGAGGCGCTCCTCTAGGGAGATATATGTTGCTTTCTCTGCCGTATACACTCCGTGTCGAGGTTGCAATATCTACTCAAGACTATTTTCAGATACGAGAAGACGGTGGGAACGTCACATGGCCTTATCAACCACGAAATCCAGACAGCTACGAGACATTTGGATAGGTGTTGGCTTGTTTGTGGCACGGTCATAATCATGCTAGAAACACGGAATCACGGATTTTAAGTATTTACGAAACTAACCCTTCACTGACCAGGAGTTACTGACATATGACCAAGACTAAATGTGGTACTGAACTTCTGAGACATTTTGTCTAAACGAGATAAAATCCCACACATTTCCTACTCCTATGATCCCGAACCCTTTCCATGCAATTACTTCAGAGCCTTCTTTGCCACAAGAGACTTTCATCAGTAAGTAACACGGTGGGGGTTCATCACTTCTATGCTGTATTAGCAATTGGTTATTTGAAGACCTTCGTATTAGGATGTAGTATCTAGCTTGGGCAGAATTTCTATAAGCCTTAGGTCCAAACGTCAGGTATAGCTTCCTCTGTATAACATCTTGATTCCCTGATTGTTATGAGATGTTCTAAGGTCTGGTACGACACTATAAAAGCCAAAATATCGTAGAAACTAATAATTAAATTTGGCAATGCTGAGTTATATCTAATCATTAATTGGTACGGGAGCCCCTTTGACTATAGTTTTCGCGTTATGGATAGGGGTAGCACTCGATATATAGGTTGCACACAGGGTGGAAGGCGCCAAAAGGAGGCATTTTAGGAGTTTATCGAGAATAAAGATGGTATTATGCGACTGTTGACACCTACATAGGCCCTCCTACATCCAGTCTAGGACATCTCCACTCAGAGAGCTCTGTTGGTTACAGCCTCTTTCATTGAACCCAACGGCTACGTATAAGCCAATGGCTATTGCATGAACCCAAGAAAACACTGTTATTATAGGACCCTACATGGATCGTAAAAGGGGAGGATCGTTGTATGAAGATAGCCTACCCGAGTCCTAGCTTACTCCACTTCATCCATTCGACCCCCTAACGGAAATGCGTTAATAAGAACCCATAAGGTTCTTTGGCAGAGTGGCATAAAATGTTCCATCAGGGCTATTAAGGTTAATAAGCGGGTTACATATTAATTATCAGAATGGCGTCAGAAAAAGTACCCCTTGTGCGATTAACACTGTAATGAGCTATACAGAGCTCCTATGCTAGACGTACTATGCCATACAGTACTATCCGCACATGGGACACTTTTTCTGACGCCATTCTGACTGATTGAATAATGTGGATGTATTTCCAGTCTTGCCTGCGGCATGGTGGTAGTGTTCTTTTGTGCGGATGATTTGCTGATTGCCGGAGCGGTCGTGCTGCGCTCCAACATACATTTCTAGCTCTTACTTCCATGCAAACTTGCCGCTGAAGAATCAACCCCTTATGCTGTTGGTAAGCCTCTGTATATCCATGGATGGTTCTTTTGAAGTATTTATATGGGACAATTTCCAAGCTTTGAATATCTTGCCTGAGAGGATGGGCGTTCCGCTAGGTTTCGGTGACAGTGGAATACAATGGCTACAACAATTTTCCTCATAGGGGCTACTGGCCTGATTGGCTTCCGCGTTCTTCTCGAGGCCCTCGCTGCTGGCCATAATGTGCGCTACGCGGCGCGATCAGAAGAGAAAGCCGTTAAAGTCTCCTCGAACCCTAAGGTCCGGGCACTCGTACCTGGCGACCGCCTCTCCCACGTTATCATCCCTGATTGTACTGCCAAGGGTGCCTTTGACGCTGCCCTACAAGGTATTACGCACATCATCCACGCAGGCTCGCCCGTACCCCTTCCCAACTACGACCCTAATACGGAAGTCTTCCAGCCTACGGGGCTAATGATAAAGGAGCTTCTCTCATCGGCGCTTAAGACGCCCAGCGTGCAGCGCATCGTCATCACTTCGTCTATCGTGGCGAATGTCGGCCTGGTACCGCCCCCGCACGTCGTATCTGCCTCTACACGATTGCCGCCACCTAGCCCAGTACCTTCCTCATTCGACGACGTCTTCGAGGCATACGTAACGGCCAAGATACTCGCCTTAAGATATGCGGACGAATTCGTCGAAGAACACAAGCCGCATTTCAGCATCTCTCACGTGGTGCCGGGGTACGTGTTTGGCCGCAACGAGCTCGCGCTCGATGCCGACTCGGTCTTGAAGCTTAATAGCTCCAACAACCTCCTGGTAATGGCGATGCTGGGCGAGAATCTATTCCCGATCCACGGTGTCTACGCGCATATCGACGACGTCGCAGAGGTCCATCTGCGCGTGCTGTTCTTGGACCCAAAGGAGGGCGAGCCCAGGGACTTTGGCGTTGCCACGAGTGTGAACTACGATAACATGTTTGATATTGTTGAGAAGGCGTTTCCCGAAAAAGTTGCAGAGGGGATTTTTGTAAGGGGCAGTCTGCAAACTCTGCCCGTTGAGTGGGACTCGAGTGAGACGGAGAAGCTGCTGGGTAGGAAGTTCAAGAGCTTCGAGAGCGCGGTGGTGGATGTGGCTGGCCAGTACCTTGAGGTACGTTAGGAGAGGATCGGGGGGAGACATTGGAACTAGGACGATAATGCGACCTAGCTTATACTATCATGAAATACACCGTCTCTTTCCAAGCCACCCATATACTGGTCCGCATATATTGAGCGAGCTGGTCTATGAATGGCAAAGAAACAACGAAATGTTGGTGCGCTAATTGTGCGCTGATGGAAGAGGAACGTTTGTTTCAGGGGAAGGTTGGTGCTACACAACACTGTAGCTCGGTACCTAGGTACTTAGGAACAGTGGGCGGCGACTCAACCTGGTGGGGTAATCGTAACCTCTCAGCCCTACCGTCCCGCCTGCAGGTACGGGTGGAGCCGGCAATTCAACCTCAATCATCACCTGAGCAGCATCTCTCACCTTCATTCGTACCGCCGAATTTCATTTCATTCTGTCAAAATTACGGGGAAATGCGCGCCGCGCCCTTGATCTCTCACTGAAACGCGCACTATCTCAAAGACCTCATCTGTAAAGAAAGTCACAGTCAAGTCTACACCAGAATGCGGGAGCTATTCCTGACTGCGTCCGTCAAGGATGCTGACTTCCAGATGGCGTGTGCTGTGCTACAAGGCCTGACGTGGATGACAGCGCGCCGGTCTGTCCACCGTATCCTATTCTTCCACGGCCAGCCACAGCCGAAACCTCTCAAGAACACGCGCGCCTTCCAGACGTCACGGCACTTACTGCTCTGGAAAGAACTTAGCAACCAGTTGGCACGGTCGTCATACGTTCTTCAGATAGCATATGAGATCGTCCCGGAAAGGGATTTCGGAAAGGAAAACACCATGGATTTTAACGCGCTCCCTGGTACCCTGCGGTGGACAGATCTACCGGATCCTCAGCGAGATACCCCGGTCACTTCGAGGAAGAAGATCGAGATTCCAGACCAGACCCAATTACCGGTGGCGATGAATGATAATGGTTTCCGGTAAGACAAGTCTCTCGACAAGCCAGACCTGATCCTAACATGTCCTGCTAGGTATAAAAATGAGATAATACAAGAGAGCCGGTCGTTCGTGAGGGAAAACGTCGAGTTCGTCTTCAGCAGATACTATCAACTGCCGGATTCGCCAGGCGGGCCGGTGGCCAGTCTTCCAGCCTTCACAGACCTTCGGCCGCTAGATCCAGCGCAGAAGTGGGTGTTGAACGTGAAGCTTAATGTTCTTGACGATAGCCAACCCGACAAGGTTAAGAAAGCGATGGAGGAACTTCTTGTTGTCAAAGCAGAGCTTGACAGGTTATTCGACTTCAAGCCTATCGACCGACGGGTGTTTGACACGAGAATCGCACCCCCTCCTGTAATCCCTGGACGTGGATAGATGGTGGGTATAGGGATAGTGCCAGGTCTTAATATACTGAATACCCCCATACAAAATCCATACGCTCCGGCCTCCAATTAGAGTTCAATGCGGATATCTGGGTCACTTGACTCCTGCCCAGAGATCTTATTAAGATTGTTTGATAGATACAAGTGAACAATAATCCAGCAGCAAAGGGACCAGTTCATACAACACACTACCCCTAAGTCACGAGACAATATTGGATACGATAAATGTCAACTCCTCAGACAACTCATACTTTGATTCAGTGGTGTGCCAATCTACCTACTTTTCATTATGTCGCAGAGCTAACTACGTGTACCTGAGGCACTTGGGTCCTGTTTTTACGCTTTCATAAGTTTGGTGGCTACCTGGGTAACGTCAATGGGCGGCCTAACGTTCTTTCCTCGACTAGGAACAAACGCCATTAAGAACGCGACGCGTTCCACCTACAACACAACACCGCCGTTGCTGTTTCCTATTATTGCTTCCTTACAGGTATCTAGCCTCCGCTGAGGTCCCAACACCGGTGACCCTGAAATTTCTGTAGTGCATAGACCCCCACACGGATTGATTGTTCCATCACCAGGTCGCCGATTCATCTTCTCTCACCTCTCTACTTGTTGCGCGCTTCCCTCATTGTCATTTTAATTCCATTAGCGGTGTGTGATATCACACCCCCTCCCTTCTTGTTGTCGTGTAAGTCATCTTGCTCGTACCCACCCCGTCATCCTAATCGACTAAGCTCATTATCATCCTAACAATCGTCTCAT